AATCATTTGCCAAGTCATATTGACTTGAATTTGTAAGATATGTGTAAGAGACATTTAAATGATTGATATGACTGGCTGGACATAGAATCCATAGGACTGAGTGATGGGTTTAACATGTGAAGGCAAGAAAGGATAGTGTCAAACATGGGCTCCAAAATGTTTTAGCTTGAATGCTTCTATTGGAATAATAGTAACTTTTCAACATTTGGTCAAGTCGAATTAAGTTATTTACTTGAATGTTAGTTGCTAGTCAAGGATCCTGAGCAAAAGCAATATAACAGGTGGTACGGAAGTACAGACAACCTGGAGAATAGAAATTTAAGCTGGACCTTGGAGAAGACCTCAAAAGGCAGATGAGTACAGAATGCAGGAGAGAAATGTGCACGGGAATTAAGATATATCAGAGGAAAACCCATGTGATGTCAAAGTGGCACAAAGGCCCTTAGCAGGCTTTGGGAGTAACAAAGAATGGCTGGAGCAAAAATCTATGGTGTTGGTGGTTAATGGTGGCGCATATGTGTATGTCGGGGAGGAGAGCAGAGTAGACAGTTAACATGTGAAGGTAGGCTTGGATGGTTTAACACGAAAACAGTGAGTTTAAACTATACCTTAGTAGGTGGGGAGAAGATGGAAGTTTTTAGCATGGGAATTACACCATTAGATTTGACCTTAAGAGTCAACACTTTGCTTCAAAAACACACAATTTGGGGATTTTGATAGCATTAACAAAACAAAGGATTTCGCTTAGGCAGTTGAGCAAAAAGAGATTAAGAAATGCCCATGGTCTGCTAATGGTTTGTCTCCATCCTGAGCAGCTCCTAGGTTTGGGAGTTGCTTGCAATGTTATCAGTTGAGTGGGAGGTTTGGCCGCCCCCATCACCAGCCGGCCTCAGGCGGGGTTCAGGCTTTGTGGCCATTGAGCAGGCTGGCAGGACCTGCTTCTCAAACTAAATTGCTTGTGTCATCCAACTGATGAATGTCTGTGACATTGTGAATAGCAATCCCATCAAGACACCCTCATCGCATTTCACTCTTCATTGGCTCAAGAAGTGAAATATCTTAGTCAGAAAGTTTAGTCCCTTGTCTCAACTGGGTTAGGTATTTTTTTATGGTTTTCGTGGAATTGTAGAGATTGAAATATACTCACAAGTGACATAAACTTGGCCTCCTTTAGTTCAGCGTGTACTGCACTTAGCATTACATAATTGGACCTCTGGGCAGAGACTGCAGGTTTGGATGCCTTCTCTTCTAAGTTCCTGATGAGGTAGGAAACTCCTGGGTTTGCCCCCCTGAAATGGGCATGCCTGTTTTACTAGAATTGGGAGGATTCAGAATGGCTTGATCTCTGTGCCTCAAGTCCCTGAGGCATCCCAGGAAAGGCCAAGACAATTCCTCCTGGGCATAATCCTTGACCACCTGATATCTCTATGTTGAGCTTGCGCCTCTGCAGATGTGGAACCAGGGACAGTGTTTCAGAGGGGCTTTTTCGAAACTAACTGAGCCCTAATAATGAAAATACAAATGCCAGAACTGGGAATCAAAATCATCCCAGAGCAGCACAGCCATTTCCAGGAAAACCTAAGTCCAAAAATTAGAAATAACTTGCTCATATTTCTGTGTGACACTGGGCAAGTCGTTTCCCCTCTGTCTCCAATTGCTGTTTTATACAATACAGTACAATACAATACAATACAATACAATACAATACAATACAGTACAGTACAATACAATACAATACAATACAATACAATACAATACAATACAATACAATACAATACAATACAATACAATACAATACAATACATTGTCGGATAAGGTTAGCTTTTAGGTATATTCTGGTCCTGACAAGGTGGGATTTTTTGATTATCTGCCGAGTAACCGTTGCAGCAAGACCCACCCACCTGCCCAGTAGGGATATACTGAGCGCTCACAATCCGCTGGTCTGCTCGCCTCCTAGCCTCATCTCTCTGTCTCCCCTTAATGGACTTAGTTTAATGGTGAAGTCTGGGTCCGGAGGCAAGGGTGACCCCCCCCCCCCCACTGACTGGTGAGTAATGGGTGGTTCCATCTTTTTCTCAAACCCGCTGGTTCAGTGTTCCCTTCTCCCTTGTCTTATTTTGGCTAAGCTCCTTCAGGCTTCTTTCCTCCAGGGCACCATTGCACAAGGTTATGTCTACTCCAGCAAAGCTGCCCACTCTTTCAATTTTATAGCCCCTTTCTGGTAACGCATAATAAGAATTGCTTCTGCCGTGAGCATGCCCACTGGGGACTGACCCAGGAGAGGGGCTGCCAGAAGCCAGAACTTCTGCCTGCATTTGCTGATTCATTATCATTGTCAGACAATCTGCTGTGGAATGATGATAAATATGTGGCTTTCTGCTAAAGCAATCACATACTCTAAAACCAACCCTGTGCTGACAGCCTGCTTGTCCCTTGTATGGGGTCCCACTATGCTTTGTCCCTTTTGCAGTAATCCAGACGAACCCTGGAAGAGTAAAGTGTGTTTGACAAAGACTGAAATCCATGTGATTTAGAAATGCAAATTATCTCTGTTTTTAGTCAGAGAGTGAGGCACAGACAAGGTGCCAAGCAGGAAGAGGACCCCTAATAACCAGACACTGTTGCCCCCAAAGGATTTTCAAGCTAGTAAAGTAGATGAGACCGAGAAGGGCCAATGAAGAGAGGTTTGACTCTGGACGCTCTGTGTGGCTGTGAACGCTGTAGCAGATCCAGCCACCATCATCTTCATGACTTTGGGCAAAATTCTGCTGCAATTTGGGTTTCAGTTTCCCCCATTAGTAAAATGAATGTTAGGCTGGGTGACCTCAGGGGCCCTGAGAGGACTACTTTTTCTGGTTCTTTGGTAAGACAGGCCCAGCCCAGTGGCCCATACACTCTGGGATCCCCGATGACCCCAAGAGATGTGCTGTGAGTGTGTGGTGATCCTCTTGGCGTCATGTAAACATAGTAGTTCCTCAAACAGACCTTTTGCCTCCTCCTGCCACCTCCACATCTTTGGTAGGATAAGAACTAAATTAGTGGGTGCTTTTTTCCTTGTTCATCCTTATTGCTCATTTTCTTTTATTTGAAGAGTAGAGGTTTTCATATATTTCATACCCACATCCCCACTTGATGGGAAATATTTCCTTTTTGGGGGAGCTCATAAGTTCTCCTGGGAAGCAAATGCCATTCCAAACCTGTAGGACCTTAGGATTAAGTTACATAATTATAGCAATGGTAATTTCATCCTCTACAGCCCTATCTGTTGGGCACATAATAATCAGAACTCTAACCACATTTTTGTTGAGATAATGTTGGTTTACAGTACTTACATGTTTCAGGGGTACAGCTGTTCGCCTCAACAGCTTTATCACACCCACTCCCAAATCAGTCACTATTCACCACCAACCTCTCAGTCCCCTCCACTTGTATCATGCACCACCCCCACTTCCCTCTGGTCACCACTGTTCTGTTGTCACATGAGTGAGATCCTGTGGTGTTTGTCCTTCTTCTGACTTTGCTTACTTAGCTTCACCCTTTCAAGGTTCATCCATACTGCCACAAATGGCAGGATTTCATCTTGTTTTCTAGTAGCTGGCTAGTATTCCAATGTGTGTCTATTTCATGCTTTTATTCAGTCACTCACTAGTGATCATTTAGGTTATTTATGTATCTTGGCTACTGTGACTAGTGCTGCAGTGAACATAGGGGTGCATATATCTTTTGGAATTAGTGTCTTCATATTTGATTAAATACCCAGAAGTGAAATGGATGGGCCATATGGTAGATCTATTTTTAGTTGTCTGAGGACCTCAACACTGTTGTCATACTGGCTGCACCAGCTTAGATTCCCAACCACCACCATTTTTATGACTTGCTGTTTTATAGGCTTTAGTGCCCCCCACACATCAGCTTGCTGATTTCTCATACCATCCACTTTAAGTAGATTCTATGTCCTTCTCTTTCACAGGAAAGAAGCAGAGATTTAGAGGGTTAAATTTTCTGCCAAGACCACACAGTAAGTGGCAAATCTGAAATCTGAACTTGTGTTTTCTGACTCCAGAGCCCAAACATCAACCCTCATCAGGACAGCCAGTGCAAAACCCTTCAAGGGCACAATCTTTGCCTGATTGATGGGCACTCCTGAGGTGCTTGTCCTCTGCCCAGCCTTCAGCGCCATGGTCATGAGCCTCTCCTGTGGTTTGTTGGGAGAGAGGCTTCAGCCAGGAGAGGCAGGGTGGCAGTAACTGCAGGCCTTTTATTGCAGTGCTTTATGATCCGGGGTGGGGGTTCCTTCTGTGGACATAAGCCATCCTAATAGCACCATTTATCATTATGACAAAGGTTAGGATGGGGGGAAACTGGAGCTGGAATGAAAGAGTAGAATTCTGATTATTTTAGCAGTTGAAAGTGACATCACCTCAGAGCCTCTATCAAATGGCAGATTGGAAGCCAGACTGAAATTGCTTTAAAATATATCTAGAGATCACTTTCCACAGCTGTGATAAAGTCATTTGGTTGTGTTTGAAGATGTGTTTCTATCTAAAATGCTCACTGAGTCATCTCTGTGGCACCCCCCTTGAAGGCTGCTCATCAGCCCTGAAGAGGCAAAGGGTCCGGGAGCTATTTCTGGGCTCCTGGGATGTGCCCTGTCCTGGGAGCTGAGGAAGCTGCTGGGGCCACATGTCCTTGCTGTGTATTTTTTAAAATGTGTTGTGGATGTCTTCTCATGTCAACAAGGAATGTTTTACAACATTTTTATTGGTCACATTGTTTTCCTCTGTCCATCTGGTGGTTTGGACCTGAACTTTAGAGCAGAATCTCTTGCCTCCTGTCAGTGAGTTGGAATCAGTAGAGCCTGCAAAGGGCCCTCACACAGCGCCTGCTTCTTGGACCAGCCCTTTTGTAAATCTCTTTGGACTTTACCCACAGTCTGCAGTAAAGAGCCGTGGAGGCAGGAGCTTCAGTAAACTGATTCTCCCTCTTTTTTTTATCCTTAGGCAAAAGAAGGGGAACGTGGCCCACAAACACTGGGTTGGACCTTCGAATCTGGTCAAGTGCAGGCCCTGTCCCTTGGCACAATCGGCCATGGTTTGCGGCTCCGACGGCCACACCTACACCTCCAAGGTCAGTAGTGGTTGTCTTCTGTGTCATCAAAAATGCACCATGTCTGCTTGTCCTGACTAGTCTTTTTCCATAAAATTGAGGCCTGTGATACTCACTGGGGTTTGAATGTGCCCTTGAGAAACTTCTATGTGCGCAGACTCAGAGATAATCTCTGGCCAATAGAGTTAGGTAGAGATGTGGCATCCTCTGTGACTGACTGGTCAAGGGCTAAGGAAGAGGGTGATTTCTTGGTGGTATGTGATCCTGAAGTTAATCCAGGAGAACTTCCTGGAGAAGGTGGGGTAGCACACTAGTCTGAAGATGCGTGTCGTACAGCTCCACTGAGAGAGAGCAAAGACACGCGAGGCACAGACTGCTGTTGCTGCATGGATGGCATAGCATGACATCAGCTCATGTCTAATCTCTGTAAATTCTGTTTTTCACCCAGACCCATGTAACCTGCTTTAGGACCTCAGTAGTATAATTACTGCTTGATGAGTTTCTCTTTCATTACCCAATATCATTTGAACTCTTAGATGCCAGGCACTGTGCTAGTTGTTAGGGAAATTTATAGTTGAAAAGGAAAAGTTGGTGCTTCTTTAAGGCCACAGTCAGGAATCCTTGCCTCTTCAAATTCAGACCTACCCTGTGAATATCAGCTTCTTGCTCAAGGTCCCAGATGGTACATTCTGGCTAAAGAGCCTCAGTCCAGTTCAGCTGGCCATACCTTCTACCTACTCCTCTGCCCTCTGAAGCCCCCTGGAATCATAACTGGAGATAGTTTCTAGTAACGAGACTGGTTTCTGACACCCTTAACTCATGTGGCATAGTAGACCTATAGGGGACATTGATGAATCTGTTCTAGCTTCCATTCCTAAAGGTGGATCCAGCCAATATGGTCTTTCACCTAAATAGTCATGTGGAAATTTTGTCACAAAAGGTGATCATACAGCAGATCTGAATGAGGCCTGAGATTCTGTATTCCTAACAAAGGTGACATCCATACTGCTGGTCCATAGACCACACTTCGAGGAGTCAGTTTTTATAGACACCTCCTCTTGGATCCCTTCCCCTACTATCTGTCCTTTCTGCTACCTCCAGAGTCTATTTCCAATTAATGGGAGGGGGTAGGAGGGAGAGATAGGAGATAATTCTGTAATGACAGTCTGCTGGTGGACTCACCCACTTAAAATGCTTGGATGGAGATCCTGGAGCTATTGTTCCTAGCAGAGTCCTCCAGGACTGTCCCCTTCCTATATCACTTAGCATGGGAAAGATGCTTCATTCATTTGCTAAGCAACTAGTGAACATTTATAGTTGTTTAAGCATGGTGCAAAACAAGGTCAGGGACAAGACAGACACCATTGGAAACCTAAATGACCAAGCAAATAAATAATGTAATTTCAAATTTTGCTAAGGTTTACAAAGGAAAGAAGCATGGTGATGAGCGACTGAACCAGAGGGACTTGCCTTAGAGGGGAGAGTGAGGGAGTGCCTTTCTGAAGAGATGTCCTTAAAACTGAGAGTGGATGGCTGGAATGTTCCAGATGGAGAATATAGCATAAGCCAAAACTCTAAGGCAGGACGATGTGTTTGAAGGACTGAGAGGCTGTCCGGGTGGCTCAGACAGAGAGGAGAGGCGGTGTGAGTTGAGAGGGGCTGAAATGAGTTGAAACACCATCTAAGAGGAAGCATTTAGCCCAAGATGGAAGGGGATGCTAATGCCAGGCTCGCGGGGCACTTGGTGCTGTAGCGCCCCTCTTGTTCTGAGGTACCTTAAGAATGGGAGACCTGAGAACCACCATATGCTCACTGGGCTCAGGACAGGCTGCATCGTGGCAGCTTAATCACTGTCATGGACGAGGGAGGAGCCACCGATGGTTCTGACTGAGAAGGAGTGGCAAGACGCTAGTCTGTGTAAGCCATGTGGGACTTGACTGGGTGGTTTGAGGGCGCTTAGCAACTGAGAAATACCAGCCAGTCCCACTCTGAACCAAGTTGCTTAGGCAAACATCCAGCCTGTGGCTCTGGCTAAGAGTTACAGAGATTAGACATGAGCCTCTTGCAGTGCTTCTCTCTGTGAAGGTCCAGGAGCCTGAGTTTGGAGGTGAGCCATGAAATGTCACTGAGTGATCAGGGCTGTTTGGCGCGTGGCATATTGAACATCAGACCTGCTTGCTCGCCTTTGTCTCCCTTTGGCAGAGGTGAAATGCCAACTGGAAATGCCAGTTTCCCATGACCCCCAACCTACAAGGAGCAGTGGAGGCCTGTCAGATGTGGCTTGAAATGCTGTCAGTTTCTCAGGGAATGTCCCTGGAAGTGCTCCCTGGCCAGCGTCTGCCCCACCCCGAGCAGTCTGGGCTGGCTTTTGTGTTAGGGAAGGATGCCTGCTGCAGATCCTTTTGTAAGAGGCAGGAGCGGCTTTGGTGGATTTCTGTGCACTGACTATTGACTCCCGATTCTTCAAAAGAGGAGTGGCTTTCAGAGTCCACTGGGCAGAGGCTTTCTCTAGCGTGTCCTGCTAAGTACGTTGCATCCCTGCACCAGGAAGACTCAGTCCTGTTTCCTAGCCCCCACTTACTGGTTTTTTCCCTGGAGCAAGAGAAGAGATGGGAAGCTGCCTTATCACAAACTGAAGCATCCGTCTCTCCATTCTTCATATGAGGTAGACTGAGACCCAGAGAGCCAAGTTCCTTGACAGAGTTTCACATCCATGGGCCCCTCCCTGCAAGTCTTTGATCACCCACTGCTATTTAAAGTTAAAACAAAGTGTGGGGGTGTGGAGGGGCAGCCCTGCAGTGGAAACTGATTCTGGTATTGGTTTGGGGCATTTGCTTCCTTTTCTATCTCATAGGAACTTCTGGAAAGTTGGTATTCTCTTTTCCCCGAAGGAATTAATCAAGTATGACTCCAGCAACTATGACTCCATACAAAGCCAGTGGTTGTATGTTGACTGATCAAGATCTCTGAAGCTGAGGTCAATTCAAAACCCAATGAAACTCCCTCCAACGGGGAAATTTGAGTCTGGTTGGGTTTACTATGTGTGTTTTAGTTATTTCCCCTACAGACATGGCCATGTGTTCACTGAGGGTTAAAGGCATGTTAGTCTCATAGACAGAGCTGTTGGAAGGCTCCTAGTTGGTATAAGTGAATGACTTAACCATGAATGAGCAAACTGTTTCCCAGCCCCTGAAGTCCTGGTTTTTGTGGGGAAATCAGTGGGGCAAGGAAACGAAAGACAAGACTGTTGCGTGTATAACTGGAGGTGACTTGACATCATAATTCAGATGCACAGAAATTAGTGTTGGCAAAAATATAGCCTCAGTCCCATCGTCCACACCCATTCCAGAAAAGCCCACTTCTCCAAGTGTTTTCCCTGTCACAGACCGACAGGAAGGGTGAGGTGAGCACCTTGAGGAGCAGAGAGAGGAAGGAGGCTTAGCATCAGCTCTGTCCTGGAGGCTGAGTGTTTGTCCTTGCGTCACATCAAATATCAAATAAGCATTCCTTCTACTTTTGGGGCCTGGGCAATTGGAGACTTCTAGAGCTGGGGGAGAGGGAGGACTTAGGAGCCTCTGTGCATAGCAGGACTTTTTGAGTATCTCTGCTCCACAGCTCCGTGACTCCACCAGGATCAATGATAAAGTGAGCAAGAACACACAAAATCTAGACATGAAGGGATATAAGATGTTACATGGCAATAAATATTTATTCAGACTCTATAAAACGTAACCCATGAAAGACAAGAAGTAAAAAAAGGGCTACTGAAAACAGAGAAATTGCAAGCTGGGGCTGCTTCTGGGTTGAGTGTGTGAGATGGAGACCCTGCCCTTGACCTGGCCTGGTTTCTCTGCAGTCAGGATCTTGCTTGTCTGTCAGCTGCCCTTGTGTCACCTTCTCCTGAAATGCCTCACATATTTACTGTGCTCTTCCTTGCTGTGTGTCCTACATGGTGCTTAACACTGGGGATGTGTCAGAGGTCAGAACAGACAAGCTCAGGTTCCATGGAACTTATAAGGCAGGTGGAAAATGGAAAGCACTGACTTCCACTAGAATAGTTGTTCAGATAGGTGCCACAGGACAGAGCAGGGCCACCTCAAGTCGGCTGGATGTGTCTGCCGTCTTCTTAGAGGAAGTGAGGGCTCAGTTGAGATCTTAAGAAGGGGTGAAATCAACCAGGCTAAGAGTGGCAGAGGGGGCAGCTCCTTCCATTGGAGGGGAGAGGGCATGGAGGGATGAAAGCAAGCATGGCCCCTTGAGGGGGCTGGTGAGTGGGTCACATGAGGATGGAGCCAGCGCTAACTTGCTACAGAAATGAGGCTAGACAGGTCGTCAGGCTACCTTTTGCTGCGCCTTGAAGCCCCAAGAGCATTGGGGATGCTGTTAAAAACTTCATGTTTTTGAATTCACTTAGGCTGGCCACAGGGTGGGAATATTGAGGCAGGACTGCAGGCAGTGTGGCCTGAGGCACCTGTTGGAACGGCAGGTCTGGACTTGTGCACAGGTGGCAGAAGAAGGCAGAAAGCGGTCTAAAGAAACACTGAAGAAATCATAGCTGGTCTTGGTGACTGAGTTTCACATGTAGAAAGTCATTTCAGCTCTGAGCTCAGCAGAGGGTGTGTTCACTCTCCTAGTCCTGGCGGGACTTGCAGATCCTCCTCTTGACCTCAAGCTTGGTGGCCTTGGTGGACTGCTGGCATATGTAAAGATGGAGGCGTTCGGGGGCCTGGCTGCCACCTTTCCTGGTGCCTGTAAAGAGGAGCATTGGAATCCAGCCAGCCCCGGGTTCACGTCGGCGGTGTCCACTTCTCTCCCTCTGGTGGGGAGAGCTGTTCTGGAAGCCGTGGGTGCATGTGGAGTGGGACTGGGGCTCAGGAGGGAACAGGGAAGAAGGGTCCCACTGCTCCAGATCCAGGCCCTTCTGCTCTCTCCTCACGAGGCCTCTGTCCACAGGACTTCATTGACTTCCCTTATCCTGCGTCCCCCTGACCGCAGCTCAGAAGTCAGGGCTGATCTGCTCA